AGGAGTTGGAAAGGGCTACGAGGCACGCGGGTGGTGAAGATGGAGGTGGATGTGACAAGGTGGCAAGGACGAGAGAGGTCTTTTGGGCTGAGAGTTGGAAAATTCCAGGAATCCAGGCTGGAGCGTGAGAGCGAAAAAGCAATATAGGCTGCCTTGGTAGCGCACTTGGGCTGTGGAAAGATGGAGCAGCGAAGGGTGAGGGAAGGAGAGAAAAAAAAAAAAAGGAAAGAAGAATCAGGAGGAGGCAGCTTCAGCTCCAGCTTTTTGAAGGATGGCCCTCAGAGGAGGGCAGATGCATGACTTCGACGCTAAGAGGAGCCAGAAATACGGTACGGCCACAGATGAGCGAGAGACATGAAGCTGTGGGAGTGGTTGATGTCATTTCAGGTGTATTTCACGGGGCGTTGCGTTGTCCATGGTCCATGCAAACACTGTCGGCACCCAACATTACCCTACATCGCGAAGTATACGGCGCTCCATGCAAGCAGAGAGACAGAAAGAGACAGATAGGGATACTACGCCGTGCAACTTGCATGTTGGACGGTGAGATATGCATACCTTGTCACTGCTATAGACCAGGGTTTGTCGTATCTTTTCTCTGCGCTGGGACGAGCAGGGATCCGTGTCCCAAAACATCCCTGAGACGAGTCTGGCCACAGGCCCTCTTTTCTCTTCTTCGGCTGAATGGATGGCAGCCACGGGCAAAGAAACACAAGAAGTATCCCGAGTGTGCGTTAACTGCCGGCCTTGACACCGTTGATGATGCAAACATAAGACTTGCCCATGGTTCACCTGGCAAGCCTCTTACGTGGTATTCGCCTCTTTGGCGCATAATTTCTGCCCGCCATGTTTAGCAGATACGATAGGATGAATTCATTTTTACAATATTTACGTTATAATTGGTTTCCTATTTACAGAAATAACGACTAGTTCGGCGCCTTGAAGAACTGCGGAAACAAGGCCCGAATCTCCTCGAGATCGGCGATCTGATACTTGGACGCCCGGGTTTCTGGCGCCGGTAGGGTCGGCTCGACAAAGTGAATTGTCGTCCAATTGTGAGCCTGGGCATGACGACAGTTAAGGTGCGAGTCGTCTGCAGAACAACTCGTTAGAAACCCAAAAAAATTCAACGACACAATTTAAGCAGAGCGTAAGCGTGTTCAATATGGCAAATGAAACTTACCAACGAAATAGCACTCTTCTGGCGAAGCGGCTCCTGCCTCCCTCTCTGCCTTCAAGTACATTTCCCTATCTGGCTTGCAGACAAGCTTTTCTGCACTATAGTCGCAGTACGTGATGCCCTCAAACAAATCATCCACGCCCAGAAGCTTGACTACTCTCTTCCCATGAGTGACGTATGCATTCGTCAGCAACCAGAGCTTTACTTTGGTTTTGTCAAAGTCCTCCAGCAACGTCCGGAGCTTCATGTTGGGCTTCAGAATGTCGTCTAGTGGCAGGGCATCGTCGACTTCCCGATTGAACACGAGCGGGTCGATCTTGTGAAATCGAGTCAGCCCTTCGATTGCCAGGCCGTATTCCTTGTAGTAGCGGTGGTGAAGCATCACAGCATCCTCGACATCGAGGGACAGGTGTTTGACAAAGAACTTGTCTACGGTGTCACCATTAGCAAGGTCGTTCTATACGCCCCATCACTGGCAACTAAAGATGCATCATAAGATGTCTAACCAATGAGTTCCTGCATCAAGTCATGGATTTTGCTATCTGGCCGGCGAAGGTTATGACCGTTAGCTGGCTGTTCTAGCACTCCCCCCCCCCCCCCC